AAAAGTTTCATAATCGATTAATTTCTCATTAGAAAGTTTTCTATAAAAATAAAAATATATCAAACCTGATCCTCGATTTGTCGTTCCACTTGTTCCTTTGTTTGTTCTTGGACCACCTGGTAAACTTTTAATAATACGTGGTTCATCGGAATCATTATTATCATCCGAATCTGAATGACGTTTATGATTGCTATTAATATGATTTGGTTTTTTTACTACTGGTGATTGTTTTGTAGTTGTTGAACGATGAGATGATGTTGTTGTTGTTGTTGTTGTTGTTGTTGTTGAATGTTTAGGTACTGTGGATTCAATGTTTGTATCACTTCCACCACCAAGTCGATCAAGTACTGCTTGTACAGCATTCTAATAATAGAAACAGAAATTAGATTAAAATAAACATTCTTATTTTTTATTTTGATGTTCATTCAAATATATTTACAAGTAAATTCCATTGATATTGTTCAAGAATAGTAATACATTCTTCTTCATTTTCCAAACCTGTACATTCCTATAAAAGATTTTGGAATATATATTTAGAAAAAAAATACTTCGATAATTATTTAAAAACAAATTTACTATAAAATCAGCCAAAATTTGTTCACGTTTTTCGCTACTCATATTCAAATTTGTAAGAAAAATAATTAAAATTAACAAAATCTAGAAAATAAAAGATAGCTCTATATATTCATTATTGAATATAAGCAAAATAAAATAAAGCAAAGTTAGTTCATTAAGAAAAAAAAGTAAACTGTTAGCAAGAAAATTTTATCACATGAATAGATATAAATATGTATAAAAATACCGTCATTTAGAGAATAATAAAATATATACTATGGAAATTTTGGTGCCGGATGTTCAACAGTTGGTGTTCGATCATCATCTTCATCATCAGCATCATCGGAATCCATATGAAGTTGTTCAAACGCATGCATCATCTCTTCTCTAGTTGGAGGATGATGAGAAAACATTTCCTCTTGATTGAATCTCATACCAACATCACTACTTAATAATCGAGAATATTTTGGATGACGTAGATATGGATTATCTTTGTAATTCTGATGAGGAAACATTGATACTGAACGAAGATATTCATGATCATGAGAATGTTTTGATCGATGATGAATATGACGAGACTGAAATAAACTTTGTAATGCTTGTTGTTTTGCTTCTTCCTAGAAATGAAAATAAGCAATAGGTGATTTTTCTTTTTGTATGTTTGTTTAATAGTTTGAAACAAAAAGAAATTTTACTTTCGCTTTTTCATATTGTTGTTCACTTGAAAAAAATTTATCTTTAAATTGTGTTAAACATGACAGAAATTCAGTAACAGTAAATTTTTTACTTGAACCTTCGATTAAACGATGGAATAAATATTCACCATCTATATCACGACAAACACTAATTAATAATGGATATTGATCAGTTAAACTTGCATTGAATTGTTTTTCATTGGTCCATGGACGAAAAATATTGCTGCATATGTCGTTTAATCTTATAAAAGATAAAAACGATATTTTAACCTAATGAAATCTTTAAAAGATTTTCTTTTTGTTTTTATATAATGAAAAAGAAAAGAATGCGTCTATTTGACCATGGATACGAGGGTTCAATGTTATTCAAGATAATTTCTTATATGTTCATTATTTTTTTTTTGTGAAACTAATAAATTTTAGAAATAATCACTAATCTGTAGCTGTTGATAGAGAGTTGATATGACATATTCAGTTCGTCCTATCTATTTATTAACACACCTATACACATACAGTACTCGCAAGAAGTCCCACCACCGGGTAAAAAGTACATAAAATTCAATGCTTTTGCTTGATATTTTGACTACAAATAAAGCTTGGTAAATACTGACCATAAGCAGCAATCTGAAGTCGATAGACTTTAATGTAAAGGATTTACGATGAAAACACTGTTTTTTTTCTCTATAAAGACTTGCATGTCTACATTGTATCACAGATAGGGTATTGCAATCCGCTGTAATCTTGAGGTGTAGAAAAGTCTCGATTGTCTGATACGGTCTGAGCATGGATCTCTTCTCCATCGACGACTGCGATCATGAAATTTTGAAGGAAAACTTGATTAGAACAAGGTACTCATTGGAGAAAATTTCAAGGATAATAGTTAAAATTAGTTGGAGATATAGATCAGTTTTCGGCGGTTCCCATAAAATCTCGTGTAGAGACTACTTCATAAGTCTGGCACATTAAAATTGTTTGGTACGGAATTTTTATTGGTGATAGCAGTAGTGCTGCGTTATCAAATAAGGGATCTAATGTCATGAGATTTATTTTCTATGTTGAGATATCCTCGTCTAACGAAAAAAATCTATGTTAATCTTCTAGCTCCTTCGTATGAAGACCGATTAAGTCCTAATTACTCCCTGCGATCAGAGTTCAATGATGCTCTACTCGTGATCAAACTATGAGACTAAAATATTAAAGTTTAGATACTTCTTACTTGGTAGTAGAACTTTTTGCGAGTACTGTATATTACTTTATTATCATAATAAACGAGATTTATATAATTCATCTAAGCTAATCTATAATCAGATGATGTCGAGATTTCAACACAATTCTATACAAATCACAATTTCATTATGGTTCTTTGTTTGACTAAGTGGAATGAACACTGTTAACATATCTATTAAGAATCTTCGAAGTCTAGTCACATATCTTTTGTCAAATGATAAAAGAGTTTTGAAAGATTTTATTCATTTGTGCTTTGAATAACATGTAGAGAATCTTCGCTGTAAAGTCTGAGACATATTTATTATGTGAAAGTAAATTTCTATTTCCTACATGTTTTCTATTAATCAACATGACTATAAAGATCATAGTTTAGACTATAGAAGTAGAAATATCAAAAAGATTAAAAATACAAAGTTTTTCTTCTTACCAAAAAAATCAAAAATCTATTGTGGATCCAACATGATATTTCTTTTATCATCTATGATGAAACAGATTGTTATCATAATGTCTTTTTGTGATTAAATACTAAATAAGTTTAAATAAATGTTGGTTATATCAAATTAATCATTATTTTTTATGATTTTTCTTTCTTCTTAGATAATCAAAAACAAAATGTGACTAATATAGAAAATACCTGAATATTGTCGATTTTATGTGTCATTGATGACAAAACGAAAAAATATTGTATAGGAAAAGAAAAAGAAAATGTATATATTTGAATTCATCGGACATCTTGATAAAGTACAGAATTTTTTTTCAGACTTTCAAAGATATTTTTTCCCTTCCTTTTCTGATTATAAATACGCATCTTGAATATAGAAAAACAAGTAATAAATTTTAAAGCAAATAAAAACTTCTTGTAAAAGAAATTTATAAGTGCAATGGATAATCTTTAGGAAGATTTATGAATGTTGCTTTCAAAAATTTCCAGAATATACTTTAGTACTTTCATAGATAATCAACTGCGAAAGTAGAAGATATTCAGAAAATTTTTTTTATCTATCAGAATCTTTTATTGTATATTTCAATGAAAACAGATTTTCAAATTTAATATAAAAATCATGATATTGACGTCAAATTACTAAAAAACATCATAGCTCTAGCAGACAGAGATGTTTAAGTTTGTCAGTATTTTGACTGGTCTCATACTCTATAGCTTTCGTATAGACTATAATTTCTTTTTCAATAAGTTTTCATTTGCTATAAAAGGAATTGATGCTTATATCTTTTTGCCTTCCCAGCTATTTTCTTTTGTTGTGAGTACCCTGAGGATATAAGATCACTATATCAGAACTTGTATTTTTTTAGTCTTAACAAAAGAAAAATCAATACTTTAGAAAAAGAATTACTTTCAACGAATACTTATCATTAAAAAATACTCACTTACACATTTAGGTTTTAGTACATCGGAAAGATTGTTTAACTTATAATTTCACAATGATTCACTATTAGAAAAAATGAAGTTTTTATCGTCAATATAGTTTTATACAATCTATCAAAATTTTTTCTATCGCAGATGGTATTATGCTAGAAAAGTTGTGACTTAAACTTTAACCTTTTTCAATGTTAATAATAATCCATTATTTTTAGAACAGGGTTACTTCTAGGTAAAATGCCAGAAAAAAAGAAAAGGCTAGTATTTCTGGATTTGTTTTTGATTATCAAAAATTTGTTTTTATTGAAAATAAGCATGATTTTCGGAATCAATATGCAAAAATACATTGGCAACTCTACATTTTATTGCAAAATATCTCTTATTAAAATTTTCATTCTACGACCCCTTAGCTTTTTTATTTATAAAATTTGACTGGAAGGTTTTTCTAATGGAATATAGAGTTTCTAATGTTATTTTGCATGTTGATTTCGAAAATCATACTTATTTTCAATAAAAATCAATTTTTGATAATCAAAATCTAGAAATACTAGTCGCTTTTTTGTATATTTCCCATGAAAGTGACACTGTTCTAAAAATAATGATTTTTTTTTATTATCACTGAAAAATTCCAATGTTTGATAGTGCTATCTCATGTCGTCCTGTCACTTACAATCAACAAAAAAGAAAAACTAACGAAGGGAATATAATTCATGGATAAATTATCGCTTTCTTTACTTGGTTTTTTTTTGTTCTATAATACATCGTAGTGCGACACACCTGGAGAAACATACATTTTTTTTTCATATTTTCTACAATCAAAAAAAAAAGATTTTAAGTCACTTTTTTCTTTTCCACATGATACTCCAGTAAATTCTATATCTTTTTGGATTTCGGATTTATGATGATTACTTTTGTATTGAAGAATTTTTTAATTCTCTTACTTCTGTTCGTTTGCTTTAAATGTAACATCCCATGCCCAAAGCACATAATTATTCATTAAATAGTCAATAATCTTTTCGTTACATAAAAGTTGTTTACAAAATAAATTTGTATAAATACCTTTATCATTATTCACATAGATCAGAAATGGACGACGCTAATAATAATAATAATTGTTAAACAGAAAAAAAATTAAATTCAAATTGAATAAAACATTTTTTTTTTACTTCGTTAACATCTTTCGGACTTAAAGCTTCTAGTAAAGCTTGTTTTAATGTACCCATAAAAACGATTGGATACGCATTAAATCGATAATTAAGACATTTGACTAAATGTTCAACGCCTATTATTTCATCCTTACATTGATCAGGAACTATAAAAAAAAAATTATTTCAATTATTAAAAAAAATAATAATAATAATTTTCTTTCTTACTCAAATGATCTTCAAATTCCGGTGGTGCATCCATAAGTTCATTATAAAATTCATCATCGGTTGTAACATTACTTTTGTCACTTGCCGCAATAGCATCATTTTTCTCGATATCCGATGAATACTTTAAAGAAAAATATGAAATCAATATTTCAAAAATATTTTTTCCATAATCACCATTTATTGATTTTCTTTTGTTTTCTCTTTTTTCTTTTGCTATCTTATCTAAAAAAAAATCATGACTGATTACAATACATCAATACAGATGCGTTATATATTTTGTTTGTTTTTAACTCTATCCATAAATCAAATAAATGAAAAAAGAAAAAAAAACAAATAAAGGAAAAAGCAAAAAACCGACATTCAAAAATAACGACAAGACACTTATGCTCTTTTTCTTCCTATTAACAAAGTGAAGGAAAAAGAAAAGAAATCAGTTACATAAAAGTATGCACTGTATTTATTTGTTTTAGGCAAAATTTTATTCGAATGTAACTACAAGTTCTTCTTTATGAACAATTTTAATTTCATCAATTAATAAACGTGATAATTCATTGGCTGTATGCGCAACAAAATGACATAAATCGGATGATATAGGTCGACTTGAAAGTAATGATGATAAATTTGATGTACCAGCGTCTGGCAACATTGATACTCGAGTCGATTGTAATGATTTACATAAGATTTGTTTTAAATGATCATTTTGTGCATTTGAATTTTGTGTATTTATATTTGTTTGATGTGTACCACCACCCCAACCTCCAACATCAATTAAATCCGGTAGCATACGTTCAACAATTATAGCCATGGATGATTCAGCTGTTTCATTCGATGAAAATCTTGCTAAAAATAAAAATTTGTTTCTCGTGAAAACTCTTAATAAATAATATCAAAACAAATTACTCGATTTATTTAAAAAAGAAACAATTTGTTTTTCTTATGAGAAAATATTCTCAAATGATCTACTCGGTTTATCTCCAAATTTTGCCAATATGTAGGCGATCACTAGAATAGCGTAACCCCCAAAAGTTTTCTGCTCATAGTTAGATTCGGCGGAGATAACAATTTTTTACTAGATTCCTCAAAAATTGTTTTTTATTCAACAAAATCTTTTTATTTCATTCAATAATTTACAAAACAAAATATTTTAATCTATTTACCCATGTTTGTACAACCACCTCATTTTAAATGATATTTTATCGAACAAAAAATTTCCATTTTCTTTCTACACGAACATTGCTTTGTAGAGCACCTGCCTTTACAATTGCATGTGTGATCGGTTGTTGAATCTGATTCAGACATTGTTTTTTATTAGATTGTAATGCATACATCTATATTAATACCGCTTATCGAAAAGATTGCTGCGATTATAGTTTTCTCTTTCTATTTTTTTTTTGTTTCATGTCACTCTACCTTTGGTAAAGCATGTGATTGCATGAATTTATCTGTCGTTGAATTCTAATTTTACTAAGACAAAATTGAAATTCCAATTCTGACTAATGAGTTTCTAACAAACATGCTAAATCTACTCGCGTGCACCACGTATGTAGGAGGAATTCCGAGAAGAATTGTTATTATCTACATGAAAACTTTATAATGTCGAAAATTAGTTAACAAAATTTTTCTTTTCTAGTAATCAGGATAGAAAGTTTATGCACGAAGTTCATGATTGATTTCTCAATAGAGAACAATCCAACTGATTTTTGTTGAAATTCTGTCATCATTGAATACATTTCTCTTTCGACATGCCTGTGTCCTATATTACGTTTTGTTTTACTTTGTTATGTCCTTCAAATGTGAACGATATTAGAACATTTCGTCTGCTTGCGTCACTGTTTAGGTTAACCTTTGTTTCTTTTTTTCTAATACACATAACTAACTATTTGCCACAAGTCACGACGGAATCGCCGAAGGCAAGATCACAAGTTAGATAAACGTCATTATCCTGGTAATCCATTACTCTCATCCTTACACTTAACTCTTCACTTCATCTGCAATGGTTCCACCATGATTTGAGACAATTAATGCTAAGTACATAACATTTAGCATGAAAACTTTTATGCCTTGTCTCAATTGTTATAAATCATTTTTTTGGAATGACGAAGTACCAAGACTATCAGTATTATTTGATAATTGATGAAACGAACTCATTTTCTTTTTACATAACATTATTTTGGATGTGTAGTAGTAGTCTTGTTTCTCTCTTTTTTTCTAATACATAGCTTTAGAAAAATTATTTATTTTATTGTGATTGTAGGGAAAATTTTTCATTTTAGTGGCAAATTCTGCATGTTTGATGTTTAGTCAATAGTAGAACTCCAATTTTACCTATAGTATATATTTAAATAAGGCATAGTTTATCATTTTCTATAAACTTATAACATCATGAAAAAATTTATTGTTAATATATCATCAAATTATTATAATAATGATTTAAGATGAAAGTATTTTCTATTAAGAAATTTTTTCAATAGAACAATAAAACTTGATGTTCTGAAATGTATTAAATAATATAACTTTATTTTTCATAATACTAAATTAATTGTGATCAATAATTGTTTTAACATTCTATTCAAACGAATAAATTGTACAATTAAATCTATTTATACAATTGTTATGGAATACTCTTCATAGAACAAAATACAATGTATTCATATTAATATAGTTCATGTCTATTTTTTTGTGGATAATAAGAATGTATATTACTCATGGAATTGTTTATTTTTTTTAAGCATATGTTGAGACTAGAGCCCTATAGAGGACTTCGAAAACCTTATGCCATTCTTTTCTTATGTAGCATTTATTTTTGATAATTGTAACGTTCATCAAACGAAAACTGTCAAAATAAAATGAAATAGAGAAGAAAAAAAAACAGAAGAAAACATATACACTAGATTCACTTTTACATGTGATTATTACGAGAAAAAAAAGAAGATCAGCACCATTCAATATCTCCATTTCCTTCATGAGACATGTTTTTCATCATCTTCACGCGATCTTAAAGTATTTAATATCGCAGGACATGTAAGCTGTCGCTAATTTATGAGAAAAAAACTTTTTTGGAGTCAAAGCTGAGAAAAACTTTCAGAATGAATTCGGCATTAAAAATCAACGTGAATCCGGAAATCTCTGGTTGAGACTAATTAAGGCACAACACGTCAAAAGAGGAATTAATGTTGTCTACTTTGACATATTAAAAACAAAATTTCTATATCAATTTATAAAGTAGTCAAATTTTTAGTATGGTTCTACTAAATATTCAGATATTCTACTTATGATTTATACAATAAATAGTAAATATGACATGGATTTTAACGTGTTTCGAAAGAAGACAACATGTTCTGTACAAGAAATATAAGGAAATTTAGATGAGAAAAATTTTCGTATTTTACTTGTTGTTTCAGGATGACTATCATTTAATAATGGTGGCGGTGGTGGTGGAACAATTGTTGTTAATAGTGATGATGGTTCAATATTAGTTGATGAACCAAGAAGAGCTGGTGTTACCGGATGATGATATTGATTATGACTACCTGATTTGCTTAACAATCTACGAAGAAAATAATCAAAGAAAAAGTAGATTAAACTTTTTTTCTTTCGTAATTATTAAATAACGAACGGTGTTCGATCATTGACATCCGATGATGCTAAAGTACGTTGTGAATTTGATAAAGTTGAATTATCACCAAGGTTATCGTTCGATTGCGAATCTTCTTCATTTCTACAACACCATGGACATATATTGCCCATTCTGATTTGTAATTAATCAAAAAATAAAAAATAACTATCGATATGATTAATAATCAAAAATAAAAAACAAGAAAAAAAGATGCAATATGCAAAAGAAAACAAGAATAAAAACAAAGTTGTAAGGTACATATACATCAAATAGGTGACATAGTAGCAAACATAAAGCTGTTTATTCCGCATTATACCATATTTGAAAATCTTGAGATATAAAAAAAAAAAAAAAACGAAACGTAAAAATAGGAAAGATGTCAGTAGTTGTCCAATAATCTTACGTTATTTTCTTCACTCGTGTACTACAAAAAAAAACAGAAGATTGCCCAAGAACTGAGAGATATAAATTCCTTCACAACTTCATGATAGGCAAAATCAAAAAACAAATACAATATTCATAAAATGTTTTGTTCTTACATCGAATATCCATGAAGAAATGTGGGAAGTTGAATATGTTCTTTTGAGAGCTATTGAAGGAAATGCATTGTCTCTTTTTTTTATATAAATGATGAAACTGTAAAGGAGCTGATGGTCAATGCTTGATCTTCAAGGCAGTCATGATTTTTTTTACCAGAATGCAAGACAAATTTTTGCTACCATTGACGAAAAAATCAAAAATTTCTCATGATTGCGAGAGTGAAGAGGGCGATGTAGTTTACAACCCCCAAAACATCTCCGCTCGAGTAGTTCTGTTGATAGTTAATCGACAGCTTATGAATTCATATTTCTTAGTTATTAGACGTACATAAAATTCGATCACATGACATTCCAAGCTAAGTAGGTAGTTTTGAGATATAATTCATTGAAATAGTTTTATCATATCATATATGCAACTATGCTTATACACGCAGTTTCTATATGTCATTGGTATTTAGTCTTTATTTATTTTTTTCTTTATTACGCGTTCGCTATGACTCAACTTTCGTCTAATGGATATTAGTGTTCGAGTCGGATGGAATGTTTCAATGAGTCGAGCACTTTACGTGACATATGTTTCTATTTTCTGACAGATATACGAAGTATTTTTTTAGAAGATTTTCAAACCGATTATGAATAGTTCTATTGATTTTTGATCCATAATTTTAAACATTATACAAATTTTTCATAGAAAAAAAATGTACATATCAGTTCTTATAAAGCCGTCTCCAGGCTCATTAAGAAATATTATAACTTCTAGGGAAATTCACTCATCGTGGAAGCCCAAAAATCTTTCTTTTATACATTAATATTCAAGAGTAAAATTTTCTATGCAATATGATAATAAAATAAAGCTTAGATGAATCTAAAATTTTCAATATATTTATTCTATTACCATGTTGTTTACAATCTATAATAATTTTTCTTTTAAATTATACGATTCTTTAATCTATTGTTCATTTCTATGATTATATTATGTGATATTTGTTAATTATTAATTAGTATAATAGATTCAACATGCCAATAAGAAAGAAACACTTTCTGTAAAGGACGACATCTGTTTTATGTCCACTATACATTAACAGAGAACAGAGGTATCATCGTGACATTTAGATGCATAATGGTGATTATGAATATAATTCTTAACGCATTTGACTTTTGAAAATTAGAAAAAACTAATATGTCGTATCGTCCATCATCTGCTCGTCGTCAACAAACGAGTATTAATCCAATAACAGGAGAAAAAATTGATTATAGTAAAAAAGTTCATTTTATAAAAGATCAAACTATACCAATGTATGTTAGTCTTCGCGTTCTTTTTTTTTCATTTAATCATAATGATCTATTATTTCATATAGCATTCCATCATTAGATCTTAGTGGTGTAAATGATAGTGATCGACAACCGCCACCTTCAGCTAAACAATATCATGGATCTGCAAGGTAATGCATAAAAATAAAAATAAAATATATATAAAAGCATTCGTTCATTTTTCTTCATTAGACCAGGATCTGCACATGGTGGTGTTAATGCTCGTTTAGGTTCACATAGACCAGAAAGTCGAGCTTACGGAAATTTTGATCATCAACAAGCAATTTATACGAATCGTCATGGAAATATACTGGTATTAATTAGAATTTCTTTTTATTCTATAAATAATGATTCAATACTAAAACAAATAACAAAAACTTTCATCAGGAACGATAGAAATTTGCTGGTTTGTTTTTTTTTTTAGCAAAATACTCAATATGATCTAAATCCTGATCGTGTACCTTCAATGGATATTCAAATTGTACCTCCACCACGACCTGTATCATCTCGTTCTCAACGAGCTTTATCAACTCGTTTACCTGATTCAGTTCGACCAGCAATGATACTTGATGGAAATTCTGGATTTACTCCTCGAACACCATTTATATCATCAATAAATTCTCCAATTGATGAATTTCAATTAGCTTGGTTAGAAAGTGGAAATCATCAAGATTCTTTAAAAAAAGTAGCTGCTGAAGAAAAAAATGAACAACGAAAACATGAATTAATGACTGAACAAGTTTTATCTGATCAATTATCTCGTTATGTATTAAGTGATCTTGAACAAGAAGATGAGCGTCATAAACCAATAACTATTCAACAACAACCAAGACGAAATCTTGATAGACGTATGCATAATACAAAGTATTTAATTAAAGAAAAAAAAGATTTTTCTTTTTTGTTTTTATTCATCAATATTTATTTTTAGAGTTAAAACAAGTACATCATTAACAGAAAATTTACTTAGTAAACGTATACGTTTTTCATGTCGAATTTTAACAAGGTTAGAAAAAAAAACCAAAATATGTCTTCTTAGTTTTTGTTTTTTTTTTTTGTATTTATTTTTATTTTTATTTATAGAGATGGAAAAGATGCATTAAGAGATTTATTTGGTTTTTATTTTATGCTTGATAGAACATTAGCTGTTTACGAATATCGAATTTTAGGAAAACGGTATATATTAATCTTTACATTATTTCTATATAAATAGAGTGACTCATATAAACCCCCCGACACATTAGAAGACCCCCCACCCCTATAGTAGAGATGACCCTCTCTTGAATCAACAACCCAAAGGATAGATTAGAGGACCTGCTCACCTGCTTCTAAGGGGATCGTCAGAGGAGATGGGTGGGTCTTCTCATCTATCCTTCACTTCGTTGATTCAAGGGAGGGTCATCTCTGCCACAGGGGTGGGGGGTCTTCTAATGTGTCGGGGGGTTTATAGCTAGACGATTAAAAAAATTCAATACCTTCGATTTGCTTTAATCAACCGGACTGATTTTTTTCTCTCATCAATAGAAGACTTATCAAAGGTTTTAGTCAAAAGAAAACTGTCAAATAGATATTGTGTAGTACTAGCACTATATTGGACAAAAGTATCTCAATCATTCTTAAGAACAGATATGTGAAATTTTCAGCAAATATGCTACTATAGAAATCTAGGTCAGTGGGACTAGTCTCACCTCGTTCACTTGAGTTGAAGACGAATTATGATCTATGGCAACTCTTTTCATTGTGAGTTCTATAATTCAAGAACGAAAGAAACGAATGATCTTGGCAAAATTATCACTATGCAGTTCTTTAATGCGGATATTTATATTCTAAATTTCATCAAGTTTCATCTAAGCATTCAAAAGTTTCGGACATTTTACATACTGATAGATTTACCAGGTCGTAAGTTTTTTCCCTTCTTCAGTTATATATAGAACTCATTATGAGAAAAGCTATCAGATATTACAAGTTCTCTTCAACTCAAGTAGTTGAAACTGAGCTGGCCTCGTTTGTCTACATTTCTAAGACAGTACATATACTAAAAGTTTCAGATATGTAGCCTTAACAACGGCTGAGATACTTTTGGAGAAGTAGTGCAATTTTTTATTGAGGTTAATAATGCCGATTCAAAAATAGTTTCCTTATGAATAAAAACTTTGTCGAGTTCTCTGTCACTGAAAACACAAAATCAACCGGATTGATTAAAAAAAAATACGTTGAAGATATTGAATATTTTTTATCATCTAGTTATTTATTCACCATAGTATATATGATATTTATTATAGTTCAAATGCATTACCACTAATACCTCGTGGTCAATATGTTCATTTATCAGGTTACAATCAAGGACAACCATATACTTTATTTGATTTCTATCACGTATATTTTAAGAAAAAGAAAACTTTTTTTTTTCACTTTTACTTTTATTTTTATATTTAAATATGATTAGGGAGCTCATATTGATTTTGAAACACGATCAATAATGTCCTTACCAGAAAGTGTTTGTCATCGAACAAAATTAACAATTTCTATTATTTCAATAAATGAAGAAGAAAAACAAACATTATTGTAAAGTTTTTTTTTTGCTAGAATCTTGTTTTTTTTTTTGAAAATTTAATTATTTTATTTTAGACTTGATGGTGTACAAGATGTGAAACGTCGAGAAATTCTCTATGCTATAAAACATCCATATAGTACAGAACAACTTGAACATCAAAGATATTTAGCTGATATTTATCAATTAACAAGACCACAAATAAAACAACGAGCATTAATTGTTTATACAAGTTTAGCTGCATTTTATCGTAAACGAGCTAATATAAATCATGATGAAAAAGATACAATTTGTATATGTGAAAAAGAAGATTTATTATCTGGATTACATGAATATAAAATACATTTAAGTGCTGGAGTAAGTTTAATAAAGATAAATTTAAATCAATTTCTTTTTTTTTTTTTTATTTAAATTTTATTCAAATAGCATTTTGCTTATGTTTGGTCTCATATGACAATACAAGGTGAAGCAAATGAATTTCTTAATTTACTTTTTGGTGAACTTAATGAAAAACGTTTTGCGCAAGTTATAAAAGTAAAATTACAAAAAAAGAATTTTTCTATAAAAATATATGTAATATACCCTTCTTAGGCTTATTCAAAATTAGATCCATCTAAAACAGGTTATACAGATATGGATACAATGAAAAAATTTGTTAATCTTTATGGACATCCATATGCAATTCAACGTAAATTAAATATTTAAAAAAATATAATAAATGTTTTAATTTTTTTGTTTTATAATTTAGATCATTTATCTGATGAAAAATTATGGACACATTTTTGTGATACATTTCGTTTTGCTTTACATTATCCACATGTATCATATTCAGAATTTCTTAATGTTTATGAAGGACTTAATATTTCTGTTGATCAAGATGATGATTTTATTCATCTTGTTAATAATACATGGAATATTTAAAAGTTGTTTTCATGTTTTAATTGTTAGTAATTCGTTTTTGAGTGTATTTGTATGTGATTTGTTGTACACAATAAAATTGATCAGACTGTAGAACTGATTATTTTCGAATTTTATGAATCTATTACAAGATATTCTTGTATTTCTGAAGAGTTTGTAGATTATATGCCTTTGTAAGATTTTAGTTCATTTTGAAAACTAAAAACTTTGATAGTAGAAATTTTTACTAACATTCATAAATCATAATTAAATTAAACCATAGATTAATAGTTCATGCACTCGAGGACATGATTACTTGTAAACTATAGACTACTTCATTATCGAGTGTACAATTTACTGTTCGTTGATTACATAAAAAGTATATTTTATGCAATGATCAATGTTTTACCGGAACAAAAAGTCTGAGAAATTTTTCAAACGTAATATAACACCATACATTATTAATTATTTGGAAAGTCAACATTCTCGAATGAAAAGAACATGCAAATTCTTCACAACCAAACATTTACATTGTGATTGGTTTACTGCAAATAGAGCGATCGTCAGTATCAATTGCAAGAATACGAGATGATGTGGAGGTTTCAATTCTAAAACATCAGTAACATAAAGTTAATATAGATGAATGTTTAATGAAATTGTGGTAACATTACGATGAAGGTCGTATTGATACTTCAGCATTCTTAAAAGTCGCTCGATTAAGATAATTGTAGCGTCCATCAAAAGTTAAATAATAATCTATCTTTGTTTTTTTGTTATTTGTTTATAATTTATTGGAATTCTCGTTTTTTTTTTGTTCTGACAAAATATTGATTGTTGTAATTTTTACTCATTTGTTCATTCTTCTTTGAAATAATTAATGGAAACTAAATCCTGTAAATCCTTCATTATGTATACACTGACGTCTATGAAACTAATTAATAAATTATAATAATTTTTGACAGTGATTATACACAATTCAAATATCTTATATTTAGGCAAGATGAACTAACATATAATTTAGAGTATTGCACGAATGCAATTGTTTGTATACGATAAAGGATTTTTCCAATATTTTCTATTTAACAGTACTCGTGTCATTCAAATGTGTATCTTATTCATACCTAATTTGTACTCAGGAGGGAATATTTCCATGCGTTGGTTTGCTTTTCAGTCGAGACTTAGTGAAGTATGTCTACTATAAAAAGAGTTCATACTTATTGTCTATTTCTTAAGAGATCGAACATTTTTAGTGATTTTTCACTGTAGAATCTTAGATTTATAGACAGATCATATTGTCGAATTTTGCTCAAATAAAGATCTTAATTAGACTAGCTTGCATAAAAGATTTCAAAACTTTTCAACTAAGTCACTTCGAGAGATGGAACTTTCAAGGTATAGGTCTTTTTCCATAGAGAGTATACATAGCATGTATTTTTGGAAAGTTTAATATCTCGGAGAGACTTACGAGGAAATAGCTCCAGGTGTCAAATCGCTTTTCGATCAAGACGATGTTTATTGGATGAGTGTTAGAGAGTAATGGAAAAATTTAGAATGGTTTGGTTTTCCTAGGCTTCGTTTTTGGGAAATCTAATTTTTATTGGATTTTTCAATACAAAGCTGTAACCTTTCCTAAGGTTATGTGCAAAATAGACTTTCGAGTTTCGACTCCAAACTTTACACGAACAAAGTTCTTAATGAGAGTGATTGATTGTGCAAGTATTAGCTTTTCGATTATTCCATTTCTCGAAATGTAAATATATGAACAAAATTTGTTTTTACATACACATGAGAGGATTTTGTATAATCAATATCTCACAATAGGAGATACTAGAAAAATTACAACTTGTACAATGAACTTGTATTATTGAGAACTTAGTTCATATAAAATTTCAAGTCGAAACTCAAAAGTCGATTTTCCATGTGATTCGAGAAGGACCACAACTTTTTATTGAAAAAAAAACAGTAAAATTGCGATATCTCAAGAACGAAGGCTTGGAAAAGCAAACCATTCTAGACTTTTATATTATTCACTAGCACTTATCAAATGAATATCGTCTCGATCAAAAAACAATTTGATACCTCGAGAGGTTTCCTCGTTAGTTGAAAAGTTTTTAAAATCTTTTGTGTAAGCTAGTCTAACGGAGGTCTCTATTTGAGCAAAATTTAAAGATATATTCATGCTGCAAATGTAACATCCTACAACGAAAATTTAATAAAAACATTTAATCTTTTCAGAAGCAGTCTATAAACACAAAATTTTTATTATAGTATACATGGTTCACGAGGTTTCAGTTGAAAAGAATAAACGACACCTGGAAATGTTTCGTGGCCACCTTGCCTCATAAACGTGCGTCGTTTTGTTTTTATGTTATTTATTAAAGGATTGTACGTTTAATAAACATGATAACATCAACACAACAAAAACAGACCATGTAAAGAAAAAATATATATACGTGCTTTTATTTTTATAATAATGGTCTTTTAAAAAAGAAATTTTTTTACAAAAAAAAAAAAAATATATAATGACTATTATTAATATTAAATGAAAAAGTTTCTTTTTTTTCTTTTGAAAATTCTTTAAATGAAGTTATCATTGCTGTTTATTAAAGATGCTCAGTGTGATTACATTTATAGAGAGATAGTAGACAGTAAAAAAAAGAAAAAAACATTGCATGCATATTCGTATTAGACATGCTATTATAATAAAGAGGATTACAAAAATAATTTTATATCTAGAATAACGTTACGCTTCTAGAAAAAATTGACTTTATTAAACCTAGATGTGTTCGTAATGAAGACGCATTTACTTAAAAAAAGGTTTTATTTGATTCAACATTTTTGCAAAAAAAATTAAGTCGTTCTAATAATTTTAAAAGTCTTGAGTAGTTTTTAAAAAAAAAAGTTAATATTTTATTTCAATTTATACTAAGAGTAAAACAAGAGCAAATAGTAAAGTTTCATTTTACTAATAGATAAGTTATAAGTGATGAAAAAGAAAAAACATATAATAATAATAGTAATAGTAAGTTGAACTTTGATGACATCAATTATTAATCTATCAAATATCAAAAAAGAAAAAGAAAATAGCACTATGAAATTAAATGAAAGTTAATATATTAATCTTCATATGTTTTTGTTTGTCTATATTTGGTTTCATTGGCCAATGGTTCTAATTTTTTTTCACTGGAGCTACTCTTTTAGCACACGAATCTGTTCCACATTGACATCGTTCATCTTTAGGTACATCTCGTAATGCTTGTTCAATATGTTGACCACAACCTTTCCATGTTGGTTTACCACATTTATCACAAACCACTTTCATACACATTGTGGGCTTTTTTTGTTTTTACACACCAAGTGATCCGGAAAAAAATAAATAAATAAATCGATCGTTAGACAGCAATGTTGTATAGGACACAACGTATGATAGACGGTAATAATGCACTGTCCTTTTTATAGTGTCGATCGCAAAGCGTTACTTAGAAAGTCCTTGTACTCAGAATCGAAAGATTAATATTATTGAATAGAAAGAAAAAAATAAACAAGAAAAATGTCCTTGTAAATATGAATAATATAAACTAAAAGTTCGAATGAAATTCTCGCGCGTTTATATCGTTTATTAAAAACAAAAAAGAAAAAGAAAAGCATATGACAAGAACATATCTTCAAACAAGTCAATATGAACATTTATCAAATATTCGTCGTTGGCAAATTCATGCTGGTTCAAATCATTTTTGTTTTAATGGGCATTGTATTACGGGTAGAAATCTTTCGGGTGCAATTATTGTTATTTGTCTTATTTCTTTAACAAATATAGTTTGGGTAATTTTTGAAGTACCTATTCTTATGAAAGAATTTAATAATACTAGTCTATTAATTCTTATTGTTGGTCTTCTTTTAATTTTTTATACATATAGTGAGAAGAGAAACAAACAAATATTTAAAAAAAAACAAAGAAATCAATTGAATTTTTTATTCTCTAGTTTATTTTTTTCGTTCGATGTGTACTGATCCAGGTATCATACAACGTCCATCATCTATAGAACGTTTAATTTTAAGAAAAAAATTAAATTTAAATCAAATATCATCTGATTATTTAAATAATTTAACATATGATATTAAAATAAATGGTATTTTAGTTAAATGTAAATATTGTATAACATGTCAAATGATTCGACCACCACGTTCATCACATTGTGCTATTTGTTCAAATTGTATATCTATACTTGATCATCATTGTCCATTTTTAAGTACATGTATTGGAATGAGAAATTATCGATTTTTTTTCTTATTTCTTATTTTTTTATTACAAACAGAACTTTTTTTATTTGCAACAAGTTTAATTAAAGTATTTTTGAAATTTTTATTGAAAAACAAATATAAAAGAAAAACTTTTTGTTGATTTTTTTACTATTAGATTTTAATCTATATTAATGATGGAATATTTTCACAATCGATAATATCATCAATTCCATCATATTTTATTTTAATTATAACTGGTTCTAGTGCACTTTATACATGTAATCTATTAGGATATCAATGTATGATATCAAGTCGTGGTTTAACAACTCGTGAAGATGATAAAGGAATTTATATGAATGAAAATCCATTTAATACTCATTCATGGTTTATTAATTTAGCAAGAAAATTATGTACATCATTACCTCCTAGTGCTTGTAAGTACACAAAAGAAAAAAATGTAATTAGAAAATTTGTTTTTTTTTTAGATGGCGCTCATCGTCTAGTTAATCAAACAGAATATCGTTTAATTAAAGAGAATGTTTAATACAATACAAAAAAAAATATCATAACAAAAAAAAAATGCATGTATAATTATTCACAAAAAATATTATTAGAACCAATCTAAATCTGGTATATCAGCAAAAGAAAAATTTTTATCACCTTTCCATGCCCAATAGGCAATACGTATATGATAAAAACCCGGAAGAAAAACAAGTAAACCAACCAGTATTAATGGCCATGAACGATCAGTATGCTTTAAAAAAAAAGAAAATCAATCAACTGCAATCAGAAAGAAGGAAGTAAAACAAAATAAAAAGAAATACGAACCTGTGTTTGGATATAACCAGTTAACATTAATGAACCTAATGTAATCATTAAAGAACCAAGAAGAAAGAGAACAGTTGCTAATATAATAGCATGTATAGGAATTTTAGCTGACGGTTCTTGAAACTAAAATTAATGAAGTTTATTATTTTAAATTAAAGAATTTTAATGAATAGTGCTTAGAGTAAAATACATCTCAAGGAAAGTTTTTAATTAAGAATATATTTTTTTTATAAAAAAAAAAAAATTGACGACATATAAATGATTTTTATCAATAATAATTCTCTTAAATCTAGAGTAGAATATACTATTATTCGAAATTTTCAACTTACTTGTAAGTCCGAATACTGTTTTTCTTTTCCTTCAAGACGATAATATGATGATTCTATATTATCATTACTTTTTCGTTTGAAAATATTTCTAAAATATTAATACATTTATTACTAATATACATATAAGTATCATTGTAGTATGAATAATTAATAGACATATTACTATTCGAATTCTTCTTTATATTTCAGTTAATCATAAATAAAAATCAATTGAAATAAAATATATATTCGATTGTTTCATCCATTCGTATTTGTTCATTTTTACCCTTGTTAAAAAATATGTATAGTTACACTTTGAATAGTAATAAATATTTTTTCTTTCTATCTTTTTTAGCATTACTTTATTATGATTATATTTTTCTTACCTCATGGGACTTTTGAAGCGCTAGAAAAGAAAAAAGAAAGGAATAATAAAGTTTAATTATCATGGGAATATATGAATAAACAAAAAAAAAAAAAAAAAAGAAATTACAATACGAAGTATTCTTTTGTTTTTTGATTTAAAAAGTTCATCTCACTTTTGTTTTCTTGTCTGTATCATTCAAAATTTGTTCATTTGTTTCCTCTTCTAATTCAATATTAGAAGACGATTTTATTTGTGTTTGTGTTGGCCGTAAATACATCTGAAGAAATACAAGCGTAAAACTCAATTATATATATTTCTGTATATAGTAAGAAAAATTCATTCTTCTGATTGCCAACAACTACTGCACATACAATAAAAAAACCAACGAAAAAAAAAGCATAAGATTAGAATAAACAAGAACGTTGTGTGTGTGGGCGTGTGTATCACATCACAACAAAAAAAGATAGATATTTGGCTTTTTGGAGATAAAATATGACGTATTATTTGTTTGACTAGTAAATATAGAAAAAAAAAAATAGAACCACAACACTACACACACAAACAAAAAAAAAAAAGTTTGTTTCTCGGAAACAACACACAACAAATATCTGACGATGGGAGGAGGAGAAGAGGACACATAAAAAAAAGATCATTTTTCTTTTATAGTAATGACTATATTTTACATGAGCATACAACTTCGTTTTTCACTGCGTTGTTTTGCACTTTGACTACGATTATCTTTTAATGATGAAGATTTATTTCCGCCAATATTTGTGCCACTACTTTTATTTTTACGACCCTTTCGATCTTTACGTGTACGTTCCTTCTACAAGAAAATAAATTCTTTTCTATAACAACAAAGAAAAAAAACCATAAAAAATTTAACTTACATATTTTCGTATTTCTCGTACAAGTGTATAAAATGCTTCTTCAACACCTTGCCGTGTTTTAGCTGATGTTTGTACAAATGGCATCGATAATGATGCAGCAAAGTCTTTTGCATAAGATAAATCAATAGTACGTGTAGGTAAATCAATTTTATTTCCCACCACTAATTCAATTTAAATGATTCAAGTTTATTAAATAAATGAAACAACCATTTATTTTTCATTTTATAATACTTACAAACCATAGGAATATCATCAGCATCTTTAACACGTTTTATCTGTTCACGATATTGTTTTATTTCTTCAAATGATTTTGCACTATTAACTGCAAATACACATAGGAATCCTTCACCACCACGCATATACTGGTCACGCATGGCACTAAAATAACAATATATTAAACTTATATCATTTGAAGATTCTATCTATGAACCTATATTCTTCTTGTCCAGCAGTATCCTATTAATACGAAAAACCAAAGAAAAAGTATTAAATTAATTTCATTAGTTAATTTAGATACATACAAGAATATCAAGTAGACATGTTTCACCATCGACAACAGCTTGTTTCCGATAGGAATCCTCTAGAATTTTTATTAAAAAAGAAAAGCCTTAAAAAGACAAACAACAAATCATCTTCATACCGATTGTAGGATCATATTCATCAATAAAACTAGAAAGTAAATTAAATTAATCATAATCATAATCGTAATAATAATAATAATTTTGTTTCGAAACTTACTGATTTTGAATCAGTTGAATTGTCAATGCACTTTTGCCCACGCCGCCAGCTATTGTTACAAAAAAAAGGGAAAACAATAAATTGATTGAATAATTCAATTTAAAAATTATCTCATTTACCTCCGACGACGACGAGCTTATATTCAGTCATGCTTTATCTTTGTATTTTCTCTTATTTTTATTTTTAATATAAGTAATATAAAGAAGTATGTATATGTATATATGAATAAATGCAAGGTTTATAGCAATCTATATATATATATATATATATATATGAGAAAGAAAGAACGAGAATAAAAATATGATGCACTAGTATTTCTGTTTCCCGGAAGAATAAAAAAAAACGATAGTTGCATATATGTAACAGTAGAAAACTATTTTAGAAAGAATTCGCTACTTGCACTGTTTTTTATTAGTCTATGATTGTAGTACTTGCTATCCATTGGATAATGCGATTGGCTGATTAAAATTAAGTTATTATAGAGGGCATTGTAACACAGTTTATCATGTTTGTTCAATCTTCGATAGCTCTGATAGACTAGTTTATAACGGCACGTATGTCAAGAAATCGAAGCAAAGCCTACAGAACATCGAATCTTTTCGATACACATGCTATTTGCATAGAACACTAGAATATACTCAGTAAACTTTGTTGAATGAGTGAACATACTTTGTTTTTAAGATGACTACATATATTATTTAACGAAGAAAAAAGAGTAATAAATTTAACTTAATCTATTTTTCTTTTATCTCCTAATCTCTCTTTGATTATATGTCAAGCAAAAGAAAAGGCAAGAAAAAATGTCTTTTTCTCTGATAATTTTTTTTTTCATCATCGATAGGTAATTTTCTATCAAATAAAATAAGATGAAGTTGTTTTTTGTTTCTTTTTTTTTTTAATAATTATTTTTAAAAAAAAGTTCATCGTTCTATATTTTGATGCACTTAACTGACAAAACTAAGATGTACATGTTCATTTCGTTAGTATAAATAAAGCGTGAAAGAAATCATTTTATTTTGTATTCCCATTAGAAACATTGTTCTGACATGTTGTTAACATTGAGATTAATTTATTATTATTATATTAAGAGAGTGGCATTGCATGTGTCATCAGATTGAATACTGTGAAAGAAAAAATCTATTGCTGATTAAGCTTGAGATTAGGCTTTTTTATTATTGTTCTAACAATGAATATTTTAAGAACGTGACAAGATTTTCTGCCAATACTATAATAGACATAAGAAATATTTCTAAACTTCTTGTATAAGATTAAATCAATTCGGTGTTTTTTTTTCACACTTTGATTTTTTGAAGATTACTATAAAAATTAGTATTTGTTTCTATTAATAAATGTTAATCGATTTCATCAGAATCATATTTAATTGATATACAAATATATAAACTTTTCTAATACACAAAAACGTCTACTTATAAACATCTCCTAAGAATGAACGATCTTGTATACGTCGGAATGATTTTTTTCAGAAAGGTCTATCTCTCTCTTTCTCATGTGAACACCCAATTATTCTGAATAATGAACACCTATTTTGCCATTTCGTACATTATTATAATTTCTCAATTGTAAACATACATGCAGTGTTTTTTTGACGTCTTTCTACTTATCGATCATCTGTTTCTGACAAACTACAACTATGACCATTTCATGCATAATTCGATTGCTTTACATGTAAAGAAAAGCATGATATCGTGACTCGAATTTATTTTGCAAGAAAAAAATTGAATTAATTAATGAGTTGGAATCAAATTGAATTAACATTAATGTTACTTCAAAAGCAGAACGACAAAATAACAATAGAGGATTTTAAAAAACGATTTTGTGTTGTAGTTTAGCAAAAAATCTTTCAATTCAAGACATTCAAATCAAAAACATAGATAATCAGATGTTTAACTACAATTAGTGTAAAAGTGGATATTTTGGAATAATTTCGCCATATCACAGCAAACCATATGTCAACTCTCTAAATTGAATATCTCCATATAGTGAACGATTTCTTAATGATCTCGATGGTGTTCACAATAGAGAAATTTTACTGTATATAGGCCATTTCAGGCAAAATGGGATATACCTACCTTTCATTTGGCTTTGATTTTTTACAAGGATTATTTTTTTGAATAAGTACTTTTTAGCATGGACACATGTAGAAAAAAATGTTGGCTATTTTAATTGACCATTAATTAAAAAATGATCAATGAATAACTCTCTAATCATATTAGAAAAAACCTAAAAACTTCATAATAGATTCCACAGCATAAACTGTATCTTTGTTGAAATTTTCAGCGAGATCAAACTCCAAAAAACCTTTTTCTTAAAAATCGGTTTTTCGAAAGATCCTTTCGAGTCCTGAAACAAAAAATTTTTATTTTACCTTCATCTAGAGATTCTGAGAAAGGATTTGTAACATTCAGAAACGATTTTGAATCTCTTATTCAATTATAAGAGGATTTTTTCGGACTCCGTTACATCACTAACGAAAAGTGAATGATTTTTTTTTTGGAAAATCTACATATGTTCAGAAAAAACTTTGGATAAAGATTTTGTAGGTTCAACAGTTGTCTACAGAATACATTATTTAGTTTTTCAAAAATTCTACCTTAATTCGGAGTTTTTTTAAAACTAAAATGCATGAAGTAAAAGTAAATGTTCTTTTTTTGTCTCACGTCTCTAACGCTAGTTTTTTTTTACTGATAAGTCCTGTGAATAAAAGTTTCTCGCGCTGATTTTTTTTTCAGAGTATCTTGAGTAACTTAACATATATGTAATATGAAAAAATTAATTCTAGAAAATTTTATTATTTCAAGATATACATGTATTAATTTTGTGAAAGTCACGTTGCTAACAAAATGAAATGGTTCATATATCATTTATATATTTTCTTAAATTGTACTATAACAAAAATGAATAAACAATAAAGGAAATTATAAAACACGATCAGCAATAAACATTTGACATAAAGCTGGAATAGGCCGAGCAGTTGGCATATTTGGTAATTTTCCAGCACTACCAGCAATATCAAGATGTGTATAACTTAATGGTTTTTCTGAATCACGACCATGTTTATCAAGACCAGATGCTCGTGCAAGAAATGCAGCAGGATATTGATGACCACGATCAGTAGCATTACTTGGTCGTCTATTACATTGTAATATATCAGTTACTTCACTTTTATCATTAATAAAATCAAAATCCTAAATAATAATATTTAAAATTTATAAATAGAAACAAAAAAAGAAACAAACTTCTCGTCGAATAGTTGAAATTTCAAATGGATCACCAATTTCTTCACCTATAACTTGAAGTTTTTGAGCTGCTCTATTTTCTCGTGCTGGTCCATTATCCATCACTACCTTTTAAAAAATATCTCAAATAAACTTTCATTTAAATACAACTATGTGCTTTTTTATTTTTACTACCGTATAACTTTCTCCATATGATCGAACAGCATGTCCAGTAAGTGTCGCAATAGTAAATAATTGTGGATTAATTTCTTTAAGTGCTAATTCTTTTATATAACACAATGGATCAGCCATAACTAATCGACCTATATTATATATAAAAATTATATCTATATATATAATATTTATTTATTGATTTTATTACCTTCTGCATCTGTATTTCCAACACGAATCCGAACACCAGCTCTTGATTTTAAAATTTCATCTGTTGCATAACTTTCTTCACCACAATTATTACGAGTTACAGCCATCACACCAATAGCTTTAAATTGTTTTGGTTTTAATTCAGAAAGAATTTTAAAAAAACCAGCGACATTAGCAGCACCACATTTATCATAAGACATGCCCGTCTAAAAATAAAAAAGAGATAAAAATATTATAAAAAAAACAAAAAACAATTTTATTTACCATACCACCACCGGCTATAAAACAAAAAAAAATTATATATATATATATACATATACAATTTAAATATTAATTAAAAAGAAGAAAACAAATTTTAACATACTTTTAATATCAAGACCACCAGTATCATAAGTTACACCTTTACCAACAAGTAATAAAGTTGAATTAATCTCACCTTGACCTTGATATTCAAGAAAAATTAATTGACCCTGATGACGATCAATGTCTATATAAGATTAAATATTATTTACAAAAATTTTTTATATTATTAATACGTACTATTTGCAGCTCGATTAACAGCAGCAAATAAAGGATAATTTTTTTCAAATTCATTTTTATCTTTTATTATATTAATCTATAATAAATCGCAATATTTCTTATATAAGATAATATTTTTGTTTTTTGTTTTTACTTTCACATCAGATGATTTATTAAATAAATTTTCTACATATTCAGCAACACGTGGTGGTGCCATACGTTCAGGATCTGTTCCACCAATATCTCTAGCAACAACACGTCCCATTTCAATAGCTCGAGCATAGTTGATTAATTTTTCATTATAATTATTATCTAATGATGTTTGACCAATAAAAAAACCTAATCGTTCAACTTTAGTCTTTTTTTCAGGTTTATCTTCTCGAATTTGTAATGGCTAAAAAAATTTATTTAGAATTAAACAAAGAAAATTATTTTATTTACCACATAAGTTGTATCAAGTGCTGATAATAATGAAACTAAATGTGCTTGTTGATATTGTTTTGCACCAAAACTTGCTATTAGAGGAGCTTTAGCACCGAGTGATAAAGCTTTTTTCATTCCGGCCGATGCTGCATCAGTAAAACGACGTACATCATCATAATCTCGATTAATTTTGCCTGTTGGTGAATAAATCTAATTAGGAAAAGAAAGATTCTTTGTTTTTTCTTTTCTCTTTTTTAATAATTGAATACCAACAAGTCGTTTGCCTGGAACATTATCATTAATCATTAATGTAAGTTCTTTATTAAATTTTTTATTTAACTAAAATGAAATTAAACAAATAAATAAATAAAAAATGAATATTTATTTCAATTCTAACTTGACTAAATGTTTGAAGATCTTTTGTTACTGAATTATGAACATATTCTTTAATTTGATCTAATTCTGTGGCAACAATAACTAAAGCATCATAATCTTTTGATGGTGCAGAGAGATTTTTAACTAAATTGACATCACTATAAAAACATCGATTGAATGAATATTTTTGTTTTTTTTTTGTTTGGAAATAAGTCTTATGATTATTAATATGAATAACTTACGTTAGAAATCGACGATAGAACATTGAGGAATAAGATAAACGTTGAGAATGTAAGAATAGACGTTGAGAAATCATTAATCTACTTACAGAATAGTAGGTCGATGATAAGAAAATAGCGTGACAAGAGATTATTACAATCTTGAAAAGAATGGTGAAGAACAAGTAAATCTAGCTTATATAACAATATTTATATATATGAATGGAGAAAAAGAAGAAATAAAAAGTCAATAATAGAACTCTTTATTTTCTCAAATTCATCAATAAATCCTAGCTTTTATATAACAAATAAGGGTAAGAGGAGTCAAGAAATACGGTTGCTTGTTTACTATAGTTCTAGGATGATAGTTACAGTCACCGGGACGGCTAAAAAAGGATACTACACACTGTCGTTTCATACAGTTTGCGGTTATAAGCAGCTGTAAATTGACGTTTAGTAGACGCAGTGTTACTATTGTATTTTATCGTGCCGTACACAGTTGATAATGATCTGAAAATTGAATATCTAACCGTTTACGATCGCTTACCATACAGCTGTAATACTACGTCTACCAAACGGTGAAAAAAAACCATCGAAAATGACCGTGCTTATTTGACCTAGGTTTTAACTCAAAAAAACAAAAAACTAATGACATACTATAAGATCATTTCACCACAATTTTTTTGTCATCGAAAATTAAAAATCGAAACAAAAAAAAAATTTCCATTTTCACACATATAATTCAAGTTTAAAGAATAAATAAATAAATGCTTAACATTTGCTTGTCTTTACTAAATAAAGAAGAAAACAAGCGAGAACTTTTAATTACACATAAAATATATGAAAAAAATTCTCTAAGCTAAATATACACGTTGATATTGTTGAATAGGTGTTCGACAAATAGGACATAATTGTTGTTCTAAATCTCTTGATTGTAATTGTTGTGCACATGTACGACATAAACCTAAATGTGAACATGGTTGAAGGTTATAAATAATTTCATTTTCTAAACAAATAACACATTGAAGACGACTAGTATGATTATCTTCTAAAGTTCGATATATTGTTGATGTAATAATTGGTAATTGATTTATTTGTTGTTGTCGTCGTTGTCGTCGTTGTCGTTTTGAATAATATTGATAGATTATATAAATAGCTGTGCAACCAGCAGTAATACCAAAAATAACACTTAATAAACGAGCAATATTTGCACGTTTTCGATAATCAGATAAAATTTCATGACGAGATAATCTTGTTAATATTCCACCCCATTGTTCATGTGGAATAAGATACCAAATACCAGAACGTTTTTCAAGACGACCAACACCAGTTAATGGTACATTAATTAATAACATTTCTTCTTTTGTTTCAGTACCTGTTGAAATATCTCCAATAAATGTATCAATAAATTTTTGTATAGATGATGTTATATTAGGATCAAATTTAATATGAGTTACTTCTAATTGATCTTCAATTGAATTAAATTCTAATGGTTTATTAATACGAATAAAATTTTCTTTTGGTGAAACAAGTCGAAATGATACATGACGTGTTAAATCACTAATTAAATGTTTTGTTTCAGCCCTTTATTACGAAAACAAAAAAACGTATATTAAAATAATAAGAAATTTTCTTACCAAATACTACGAAGTCTTTCAAGTTTTCTTATACGTACTGTTAATCGATGTATAACACCAGTACAATCTGGTACAAATTGAGATTTTATTACTGAATTTGGCTTTGAATCATTCGCTTGTACAAGACCACATATAGTTGCATAATCAATAGTAGTTGTTAAAGATGAAAAATTTTTTAAATCATCTATATCAATATCAGGTGCTACCTAAAATCGAATACATTTTTATTTTTTGTAAAATAAAATTAATATTCAATTTTCAAATAGAGAACAAGAAAAATAGAGCTTTCATTTAATATTCTAGATTTTAATAGATATTTCTTTTTACAATAGACATTTTGAAAGAATTGCTTTTCTTTGAAATATTGTGACAAGTGTTACCAGATAATGCTCAATGATACATTCCAACTACGATCTAATTTTCATTATATGATACACATTGATAGTATGTGACACTATGTAAACATTTTTTTTTTAGAATACAATCACAGTAAACTCTTCATGCTTTACGTTTTAAACAAACAAGAAATGTCCTAATAGCTTCTGATTATATGAGACAATGTATATAAGAAAAAAAGTCAGAAGTTTCTTTTAGTGTTTGTATTTCTTAGAATCCATGTTACTAAACCATAACACACTATTTATTTTAAAAAGTTGATTATGACATGCAACGTGAAATGCATGCTCTATATCAATTGCTTCGAAAATCGTACTCTATACATTATTAATAGTCTTTATAAACTCAGAAATTCTTTACAAAAATGTTCAGAAGAATACTGCTAAATTGAGCAAGTCAAACTTGACTTGCTCAACTTTGAAGCATAAATAAAAGAAGTTTGTTTTAAACGAATAATCAAAGAATAATATAATTTCTATAATTGATATCTACTCGGTTAAAACAAAAATCTAATCAATGTAATCAGATACAATGTTTTATTAGGAAAAACTCTTTTCTTTCATAATTGATATTTTTGCAAAAAAAAAATTTAAGAACTTTTATCTTATTATTTCTACCTCAAGAACTGCCAAGAATGTATCATTCGATTTCCACCATCGATAAAATCCATATGATACTCCAAGTTGTCCAATAACCCAAAGCCAATTCCAATCCATCATGGTCTGGAATACATATAAAGAAAAAAGAAAAGTTTGTTTTTTTTCTTCTCAATAAAATAATTCAACAATGTATCGTTAATATTTTTATTCAAAAACAAATAACAGAAAAATCAACTTTTAGTCTCTCTTTGTCTTAATTATTGATAAATATATTCTTTTAATAGAACAAAATGTATTTGTTTTTTTTTTTTTTTCATATATCAGTTTTTTATTTTATTTTTATTCTTCTTATTATTATTAATCTATTCCATTTAGTATTGAATTCTCTATTAACATTATATTTTATTGAATTTATTCAAATACGATGATAATATTCTAATAGAAATAATACATTCCAATGTTATAAACAATCAAGGACTTCGAAGAACTCTAATTATCTTATATAAAACATTTTAGGACATGAAACAATGAATGTTTCAATCATAAGTATAGTCAATATGATAAAAATCATATAACAAAATTCGAAATCGAAACATTTTTTGTACAGTAAATATATCCATTGATGACTTGATACCTGTTCAAATTAAACCATTCTTTTCTCAGACATTATTTAGAACAACATAATTAAGAAGTTAAATAAATTAACGACGTATTACCATCGAAATTTTTTGGAAGAAACAAGAATTAGTACATAGTATCATTATTTGTTAAAGATTAATCAATCAAATTTAAATGGATAGATGGCATACATAAACAATAAAACACCTATATCATTGTTGTGTCCAACGATGTCGTCATTTTCATGAAGATACCGCCAATCATTGCAGTTAACTGACAGTTCTGTGTCTTAGTTCGTTTCTATAGTTAAATGAGCTAATAACATGACTTTAGCTGAAGATCATATTTTTTTCAATACACAAGTTATGAGAGAATCATAAATCTATGCCGAAAACAGAGAAATAGAGACAGCGATAGGTGATGCTTTTTTTTTCATTGCTCACAAGACTTCGGTGTAGTTTGGATTATCAATAAGTTTTTTTTTTGTCCTCTATTATTATTGTAGAATAGACAAATAGAGGATTATATGATCTATTGTCCATTTCAGAGTTAAATGACCGTGGACATTTTTTGAATAACTTTGAAACAGAAAGAGAGAGATAATCTGAATTTTTCGTTTTATCTAGAGTCAACATTGCTCTATCTTTTTTACAAAGTCAATGGAAAATTCCAGTCACTTTTCTTAGTGGATACGTAAGGAGTTTCGAAGATAAGCTTAATTCACTTTGGAACCTACATATTTTCTCAACTATAATATGATGGACAGATAGCCCAGATTTCTCTCTATTGATCTACGTGAGGCCGAGATCGGAAATGATTTACATTCAAAAGATATAAAGATTTTTCTGAAGACTACTTACAAAACATTTTTCACAATCTTAGCAGTTAACACACATTGCATACAATAAGTTTTTAATGACCTTTGTCTTCGTTACACGATTTATTAACCTTCAGAGTTTTTTCCTACAGAAAGCATGATCGAAGAGCATTTATTTGATGTTTGGTGTGGGAGTGAAGGAGTGGTACGGGTATGAGTGTGAACATAGGTGTCTTTTTTTTTCTTCAGCCACTGTCTCATCCACATCTCTTAGGAGAGCCATTGTACCTTGAATAGTATAGAGTTAGCCTGGATCCATCTGAAAACATATATACGTGATAGAAACATCAAGTTTACTTTAACTGAAGTGAGCAAACTAGGACAAGAGGTGCTTATGGCTTAAATGCAATGAAAGCAACCAGTTACACTAGTTATGTCCGACAATATGAGATAATATTTACGAAGGGCGATATATATGTTGAAGAAATGGAAGAAGATCTAAATGATCATGACGATGATGATTATAGTAGTTACAGTACAAATGATCCCGATGATTAATGACTTCTATAATAGATTTATGTGAACATCTTAAAATTCTTTTTGACTCACCGATTTGGGTTCAGGGAATTATGCCAATGAGAACAGCAATAAGATAAAGGTTGAAGAAAACTTTCTGAATATGTTAATTCATTATCATCAGAATAAGTTTAACGTATGGCTTTTGATAACATTCTTTAGTAGAAAAAACATGTCGAAGATTAATAAATCATGTAGCAAAGACAAAGGCCATTAAAAACTTATAGCATGCAATGTGTGTTAATTGTTAAGATTTTGAAAAATATTTTGTAAGTAGTCTTCAGAAAAATCTTTATATCTTTTGAATGTAAATCACTTTCGATCTCGGCCTCTTGTAGATCGATAGAGAGAAACCTGGGCTATCTGTCCATCATATTACAGTTGAGAAAGTATGTAGATTCCAAAGTGAATTAAGCTTATCTTCAAAACTCCTTATGTATCTACTAAGAAAAGCG